GCAGATTTGACTGTAATGAGAACGGACCCTCTGATCAAATTTGACCCGGACTGATGTATAAACTTTATTTTATTAATTTCGCTGTTTCTTTACGACGAAAAGTCTGAATTTTATGGATCAACTCTAAAAGGTTGATTTGTTTTTTTGCAAAAACGACATCGAGTACAGGTTTCAAAAGATATTCTTGACAAACTGCCCACCGAATATATGGACCCCACTATCTATAGTTGAGTTTTGACCTTTAATATCGATCAATGTATGGGATATACAACTGAAATTCAGTGGGAATTCTTTCCTGACAATAGTAACTCTGCTTATGAAAAATGGATTGAATCGGGTTAATACTTCCTTGAGCTCCCATATACATATGTACCTAATACAAAGATTTTCAAACTTCCAATATGACAGAGATGTGACATGTTAATAGTAAGGTGGTATTGGCAAAAATAGATAAAATCGGGTCAGTCAACTTATAAAGACCAATTTTCAGCTGCTGGTCTTTGCTAAGAATGTTAGATATTACCAACAGTCAAAATGAATCGAGAGCGGTGGCGGTAATTATTTTCCAACGAAACGATAATTTGTCGAAATAAAAAGAAAAATCAGCTGAGTTTGGTTATGAATTTATATAAAACATTTGAAAGAAATAAAGGTTGAATTATTTTAAAATTTTTAATTTCTATAGTTTCTAGCTACATACACATTTTTTAAAAAAAATTATCTTCCCATATAACGATCAATCTTTCATGCCTCGAACTGTCACTCTAAATTTTTCGGTTATAGCAGTTCCCAGCACGGATTATGCAAAACTTTGGTGTCTTAATTTTTAAGTTATGAAAAATTTATGGATGCTTATACAAACTTTTTGTACAAGAATAACCTCAGTGACATGAAAACGAATATTGCCTGAAATAAATAAGGGTCCCTATGGCGAATAAACTTCTTTAAAATCTAGTTAAAACAGAAAAGGACAGTCTGCTGAAGAGTTTAACACATATGCTAAGGATGACAAAATTTTTTTTTCCAGTTAAGAACCTTGACTTTATTCTAAGCCATTGCCTTAATCATATTGTCAGCTTTAACTCCAATGTTGATTCTTCCTAAATTAAACGAATTAGATCACTTCAGCTTCAATCACCTGAATCTCCGAACTTGTAGCACAAAAACTATTTGTAGTTCGGGGATCGTGGGATCTATTTAACCGCCATAATGTTCCTACGCCTTCTGTAATACCACATTGGGATCCAAAAATCTACAAAAACAGAAACAATCAAATTGTTGGTAAATATTATGGAATAATTCGTACTGTCTAGTTGGCAGTGCGGCTAGTATTTGGGTAAATTCAATACGTTTTGGCAGAAGTAAGCCCTAGACCATACACATGGAAGATTTCATTAACTTCGCTATTCGCTAATTTTATTATATTTTTCCTACTGGGTACTTCTATTCAATGTAAAAATAATAATGTCTATACATAAGTGCATATACTACATACATATATATAAATGTGTTTACTTAAATATACAACTACAAATTCAAACAAATTACGCCAGCACAAAGTTGTTGAAAACTGGTCTTGCGATCAATTCGGTCATACATACCCACATATATACATATGTATATGTAATCGTATATAAATTCCATATATACTGTTGTCTATGCGCAAAAAAAGCTTACGGCGATCATGTTTAGAATACGGTATAAAGCGAAAACGAGTAGGTACTATTTTGTTTTGATTCCCATTTTCGGGCACTTTTGTCTTTTAACTGCCAAGTTAATTACACTGGCCATTAAGTGTGCCCTAAAGCGAAAACAGTAAACCTCGTTTAAGTAAAGCAATTGAAATCAGTGATTTTATGGGAACTTTAATATAAGGTTATTTAGTAGCACTTTTTAAATTTTATTGGTTTCATATTACGAGGCTTGGAAGAAGTCGTTAGAATTCGACAGAAGTGATACAAGCCTAAGGAAAGAGAAAGTCTCAGGCACTTAGTTTATATTATTTAACATATCGGGATAAATACTAGCGTCACCAACAAAATATAAAACATAGGAATGGGAATATAGAAAATTTAATGCATCAAACAAACTAAACCCATCCCTCAGATCCAATAGAATCGTTCATAGCACTGAAAACTGATTCTTAATTGTCAAACCTATCGTTAAAGTTTCAATATAGCGAGCTTTTCAAACCGCTGGATTTAAGAAAAATTATTTTGCGAAGTAAGCAATACACTGTTTGTCGAAGTAATACACTGTTGCCATTTTAAATAGGGTTATGTTACTAAAAAAAATTGAATATATTTTATTTAAACAAAAATAAACATTTTCTGATTTTGTTTCGGTTTTGATTGTGCCTCGTATGATAAGTAGGAAATATTAATACACCTGGCAGGCTGTAAAGCTTGCATTTTCTTAAAGAAACGTACACTTTTTTTTGGCAAAATTCGATTTTATTTTTCATTATAGTTAGCGATAACAAACAATTGTTGTGTTGCCTTTAGATAGTAGCCTATGCAATTGGAAACGGAAAAGCCTCAGAGGTCAGATCCGAAATATACAACTTGTATAGTGGATGCGGAAGCAATTCGAAGTTTGTAACACCCCGAAGGAAACGTCAGAGACCCTATCAAATATATTAGTCATGTCCATCTAACCGTCCGTCTGTCAGTATATACGTGAAATAGTCCTTCAGTTTTTGAGATATTGACTTGAAATTTTTCACACATCCTTTTCTCCCAAAGAAAATGAACTACTGATAGGATATAGCTGCCATACAATCTGAACGATCGGATTTAAGTCCTTATGAGGAAAACTCTTCTATTTGACTATACTAATTTCGTGCCGATAAATTTAGCATGTAATATTGTCTAATGCAACGGTAGAACACCCGAAAATATTTTTCATATCGGACCACTAGAGCATATACATAGTTGCCATACAAACTGAACTGAAGTAACGAATGTTTGGACCTAAAACTAATAGATAGATATAGGGTTACATATATGTACTATACGAGGTGTGTTCAAAAAGTACCGCGAATTTTGTGTTTTTTCAAAAATTATTTATTCATTCATGAATATCTATTTTGTCCCCTTCAAAGTAATGAGCATGAGATATTATACACTTGTGCCAACGGTTTTTCCAATCTTCGAAGCACTTCAAAAAATCATTTTTTTTATCTTCATCAGTTCCTCCTTCGATGCCGTCTTTATCTCGTCAAGAGAAGTGCAACTTCGTCCTTTCATGGACCTCTTCAGTTTAGGGAACAAGCAAAAGTCACAGGGGACCAGATCTGGGGAATACGGTGGCTGCGGCATCATTAGTGTGTTGTTTTTGGCCAAAAAGTCGTGCACAAGCAACGACGTGTGAGCAGGGGCGTTATCGTGGTGCAAAAGCCAATTTTTGTCACATCTTCTCGGCCTTCTGAGAACATTTTGCGCCACCGATAAACGTTGCTTCGGTCCAAGGTAGCTTCTCCGTATGCCACAGTCAACATTCGGAATGCATCCGCGCACTTAATTTCGTTTTTCACACAAAATTTCATACAGGTTCATTGATCCATTTTTTTGAATAGGTAAAAATCGAACACGATCCAAAACACGTGCAAGCAAAGCAGCACATTCAAAATGGCTGAGCTTGTCGGCATTAGTGAGAGACATGAGTATCAACATAACGCCACAAAAAATTCGAAATTTGAATATATGTAACCTGCGAAAATTTAAAATGCGCGATACTCGTATATAATATGTATAAATGATACGGATGAAGAGACGAGTTGAAATCCGGATGGCTGTCTGTCCGTGCGTCTGTGAGCTGTAACTTGAATAAAAATTCAGATATTTCAATGAAACGTGGTAGACATATTTCTCGCTGTCGTAAAAAATATGTATAGTATATGATTGGCGTAAACGAATTACTGCCACACCCACAGAACGCCATTAAACGAAAACATAACTTGAAACAAACTAAGATAAAGAACTCTAATTCGGTACAGGGGATCGCAGAAACAAGGGCACCTGTGGGATAAAAATTTGGAAAAAGTGGAACTAAATTTAGCTT